TCATTGCAAAAGTATTATTTAAAGCTAAATTCTTTTGTACAATTTAATGCAAGAAATACACAGTTTTTCAGTTGCTTGATAACTTATCTGAATTTCGTAAAATTGCTTACTTTTCTAAAAAGTAAAGTTTTATGGCTTTAAAAGAGTAGATATTGTCCTTTATATGTTATATTTAACAATATACTATAAAATCGAACGTCTATAGAATCGTACATATGCGTTTGTGATTTCTTTGACCAGATGTGAACATTTTGCGGTGAAAGCAAGATGAGAATCTGAAGGGAATGTACCTGCATAAAATCTCTAGTTTACTGTGTGCTTCTTCAGCTGGTTTGAACCCAGAGAGGAAAATAATATTTTGCAATTTTCCTTTTGAGTTCTACAAGAGTGCAAAAGACTGTTTCGTCTTGGAAAACAAATTATTTATCCAGGGTTACTGTCCTTCATAACTCGGGAACGTGTCACAGAATCAATAAACGATATAGACTAGGAGAAATCTTATTAAAAATTGTTATCACACCGAGAAATGACATTTTATTGATTCATATGAGTTGTATTGTTATAAATCAGTAGTGTATGAAGAGGCTGGGCCAGACCGAACACGACTTTATATTAACTATTTCCTTAGGTATGAGGTTCTGGACTATAGGGGTATATAGCTATCCTTATAGCACTCGTCCTTTATTGTTCAATATCTCACAATTTCTTAATCAGCTAGTCGACTCCTGGTGTATTGTTTTGTCAAATAACTGATAGTAATAAATATTTGTTAAACAATTCAAATTGAACACAACGAAATTTCTCAGTTTTTAATAGATTCGGGAATTTATTGACACGTAAATTAATTTGGTTAAATATAATACTTTTTGATTGAACTGTATAATTCTTTGATTGTGAAAGATTTAAAAATAAGAAGTCGGCAATATAAAAATTTATTTGTATAAATATATATGTTAAGTATTTTGTTAAGTTACCCACTTTAAAAATGTATTTCACCTCCGTTGACATGGTTGATGTGACTGAAGGATAATACACTGCATGAGACGCCAATGGAGAAAAAAGGCCTTTTGTTGTAATAAAAAAAATGGATTTCTTGACATTAATACATATTAAATGTTTCATACTTTTAGAGATATGACTGAAACTGACTTATCTTATCGTAGTGTACCAAAAGCTATAATCTACGAGGTTTGGCGGAATTCAGCGGTTCTTTCTGTGTTAAGTTACACAGCGACTATCGGTGTAATTGCTCGTTAACTTATAAAATTTCCACAGTTTCGCCACATCAGACGATACTGGACATAAGATCAAAACTGGTATTTTTTCGCTATATATACGATTTGATTTGATAAGCTGTTTTGAAGTTATATCAGTAACAAGCTCGTTGGACATAAACTGGGGGCTTGACAGGCCGATCCCGATCATAAAATCCGTCTTGGTCGCTAGTGCTCAATGGTCTTTGAAATGGTGCCACAGCCGATTTAACGGTTCTAAGACGGATAGATCTCGCATGTGATGATCAGTTTGATGAAAGTTAAGGCAAAATTGAATTCACGTGTAAACTGTCTTACTACTTTCTTGTTTCTCTGAGAACGAATTAGTATTTTTATGCCTCCCTTCCAAGAAGGGAAGGCATATTGCTTTGCTGCTGTCTGTCGATCGGTCCGTCTGTCAGTCCACCATCAGTTTCCGTTCATTTTCTTTGCAGACGTCGCACATAATGAAATGAAATCACGGTCAAGATCTGTTTTGGGTAAAACGAGCCTTTTGTGTCAGAGTTATGTCCCTTGGACTTTGAAAAATTCCAATTATTTGCCGTTTCTGTTCATTTTCTTTACAGAAGTTGCACATATTGAAATAAAATTTGGCATAAAGATTTATCATAAGAATATCTAGTTCAAGTTTTGTTTTGTTTCAAGTTGGGTAAGATCGAGTCTTTTTTTTGACAGAGTTATGCCCCTTGGACATAGAAAAATTTCATTTTTTGCGGAAGTTGGGTATACGTGTTTTACATCTCGTTTTGTTTAAATGTAACTTGTTTTGCATAGTATTTCTTGGGCATTCATCATCTTACCTACACATTTTCTTTAATTGAATTGATTCAATAAAAGCTTATTACTAGTACTGCTTTATCAGTTTAAACATACTTCTCAAAACCTTTATTATTTAATTGCTATTTTCATCTCTGTCGAACTACTATTATCTTTAAAATTGGCTAGTAGAATTCGTTTCGGTATTAAAATCAACAAATTCTTGTTTTTCCTCTAAATTAATTTATGCCAAAATAATCTTGTTTTAATGCCACATTTCTCCAACAGCTGCATATTGAGGTATCACAGTATTCCTATACGCCCATGTTAGTATCGCCTGGTCAACAGCTCTCATCAAATTGTGTTTTTCTTAAAAGAACCGCATTCAGTATTTAATTTACATTTAGCTTATTTTTCTGTTCCAAAAATCAATTACCAATTTCCTTAGATAAGAGAAAAAAATTAACCTGGAACCCAAATCACAGCGCAGCAGGGTGGATAATTTCGCGCACATGCTGGAATTTTACACGGCCAATATTGACCATTCCACTGGTCATTCAATCCTCAGTATCTGTCAATTACTCCCGTCTTATTTACATTTCCATGATTCAATGATATCAACTTTAACATTTATCGTTCTAGATGTTAAAAGTGTATTATATTGAACAACAAACACAGTGTCAAAATTGGTTGTAAAGTTTTAAAAAGTTACCATTAAAGATATATATTGTTTCTAATAACTAAATACACTTGTAAGATAAAGTCTTGTTTAAGATCAGAAATGTCTCGGGTCTCAATTCTCCCACTAGCAAGACTGACTGAGGGTTCCAACGATGTTCCAAGATCATTCTAACACGGAAAATATGAAATATTCCGCATTCAGAGGTATGCAAAGAACACCTGCATCCTATTAAAGATATATATGTTGGAAAATGGAATTACAGATTGAAATGCTTCCGTATTTACAATGATAACAAGTGTATATAAGATATAAACCCATACGTGGAAATTAGAGGCTGGAAGCAATTGTCTATGAAGCCCGGCTATCACTGACTGATACACCCCAGGGTGGCTAGGCCTTAACGGGTGGTACTAATTATCGAGCCGGGAAGCAAAGATGAGGAGGGAAGATTTCTTTCCGCTTAATGACCTTTAATCTAAGCATGTGCATTGCTCTCATAACCCCGATAATAGAATAATTGTGTTTGAATAAGAAAAAGCAAACACGTGTTAATGCGTTATATGACCTGAATAATTGGTGTAGAAACACATTTGACCATTAAAGAAAATAAGTATAATGCAAGAAGAACATTTTTTTTTTCATAAAATAACTTTTTAAAAATTAGAAATTAGACACATAATTCTTTATTTTTAAATATTACCAATCCTTCTTAAGAATAATTTGATATCTAAAAGAAGAAAAAAAAACTTTTCTGTGTTAAATCATTGATTTTTGTAAAGGGAATTTTACATTTTTTTTTTCATTAGTAACAACAAGAAAACACAAAAAATCAAAACATTTTCCATTAAAACAACAAATAAGTGAAATAACTTTGTTCAAAATTAATACATAAATAGTCCAATTAATTTTTTTTTTCTACATTGCTTCATGCTGGTCTCTAAATGTGGACAATTGATAACCGAAAGTGGATCAATGGGTGTGAAATGCAGGAGGTCTATTTTGTTTCGACACCGTTGTACGGCTAGGTCTCCAAACTGAGAGTTTGTCGCACAAACTGGTAATTTTGGACAAAAGGGTTTAAGCATTACATATTATCGACACTTCTTTCCGTAATTATTTGATATCGAATCATTGTTTAGTTATTTAACGTTGTGTAATAAATAAAAAGAGAACAGGGCGTTTTATTTCCTCTTTGAAATATAGAATAGAAGTAATTTTACAATTAATAAACCAAATCAAACATTAGGCTAAAAAATCTGTTAAAAAAACGAAATATTTTTTAAAGCAAAGGAATTATCATGTACATAAACATCATATTTGCTTATCTCATAATTCATTTTAATTTTATAACATTTTAATTTCGATAAATTTTAACGCGTGCAAATATAAAAATTTGAGAACTTTTAATTTTTCCCCCGAATTATTTCCAACAATGGTTATTTTTCTTTGCTATAGTTAATCCTTCAAGAGGATATTCAAATGTCATAAAATTATGCGGCAATTGCTTTTGTAAACAAATGAATGAGATAATACGAATCTAGAAACAAGATGACATACATTTGATTATGAAGTGTTAATCTGCCTGAATCGTCTTATTTAATGACAAAGGGTGCCATCACGGCTTCCCTCCCAGCCTAGTTTAACCCAGCGGTCACCACACAAACCACTAATAGTTCTCTATTCAATACTACTTTTGGACCAGTCTTATTTTGGACATTTTCCCTCACTAATTGGCTCACTTTCCCATGCTGAACGGACAAATTTGTAACAAAACCCCTAAATCCGCACCATCCAAAGACCAAAAGGAATAAAACTCTTACAATTACGATTAATCTTCTTTTAGAAAAGTTTAAAGTTCATATCAATTTTTCAAAGTTTACAAAAAAATTAAAAAAATTTCGCGCTGTTTTAAAAATACACCATTTCTGCTTTCTTTTATCGAAATAATGGCGAAAATAAACTTTAAAAAAAGAATAAGTTGTTGGTTTTTTAGTTGCATGGTATCTGTTTTATGTAGATAGTGGGGAATTAAATAACACATTCACACGTGAAGTGTTTTCAAGAACACCAGATTAACCACGCTCACTGACTATTTACTTTTCAACGTTATCGGCTTATTGCGCCCTTATTTGCATATTAACTCCGCCTACATGCATAGAAAGCCCCGCCTTGACCGCTATATCGATCCTATCACAGATAAGGAAAAATGATAAATAAACTTCACTTGTCAGTCAAAGCATTTTCTTCCAATCGAATAATTTTCGAAACAAAATATTTCATGGGGTCAAAATGTTTACTCTAACTCAGCAGTAACCGTCAGCAGTTCCCCAAACTCTTAGAAGAAAGAACAGTAGGGGCCTATAGGAAGCCCCGGTGACACAAGTTTTATCTGAGGAGCTCAGGGTGACTACAATATCAAACCACACCAGGGACTGTGTTCTCCAAATTCACCATCAGCAGGATCGCTTTATTTTAAGCTTTATTTTGTGTCATCTTCATATTTTGAATGAAGCTTCACCCATTAATTGAGTTGACACTACAGTGTATACCAAGATGATCAATCCGTTTATGGACTCTAACCCCCATCTACCACCCGGGGCCCTGAAGCTGAGTCCCCCGCATCATATGAACGATGGGGGGTTTGTTCACGGACAATCAAACCAATTTAGTCCCCCTTCCAGCGGATACGGGGTGCCTCATTCACATCACGTTAGCAGCTACTCGGCTCGGGACCTTTTGCTGCGTCGTCCAGAAATCACGATTCCGGGACACGATGCCAACGGGAACGGACACACTGGAATGTTCGGAAGTTCTGCTGGCGCCTTTCACTCCCACCCATCGGAAACCTCTAGTCATATGTTCTTGTCTGGACTCCATGATTCGGCACACTACCCTGGCAGCCATCATGTCAATGGACGATTTGGACTCCATTCGGAGATGTATTCCCGTGCGGAGCAGTACAACCAAATGGCGCCCCCTCGACATGACCATTTCCCTCCCCCACAACCCTTCAATATGCCCCCTATGAACGGAATGAACCCTATGAACATGGGAGCGCACGGACCAGGGGCATTTTTCCGTTACATGCGACCCCCAATAAAGCAGGAACATACCTGTCTCTGGATAGACAAAGACCAATTGGAACCCAAGAAACCCTGCAATAAAGTGTTTTCCACTATGCATGAAATTGTGACCCATTTGACTGTGGACCATGTCGGGGGTCCGGAGCAGACGGACCATGCTTGTTACTGGCAGGAATGTGCAAGAGAAGGACGACCTTTCAAGGCGAAATACAAACTTGTCAACCACATTCGAGTCCATACGGGAGAGAAACCGTTTCCATGTCCATTTCCGGGATGCGGAAAAGTGTTCGCCAGAAGTGAAAATTTGAAGATTCATAAAAGAACCCATACAGGTCGGTGAAGATGAAATATTTTTTTTTGTTCAAAGATCTGCCTTTTTTCAAATATAAAAAGTAGGTAATTTGTAAAATGGTTTTCTCTTTTTAAAAATTGTACATTTTATTTTAAAAGAAAAATAAACAATTAATTTTTTGTTCTGAAAAAAAAATTGTAATCAATTTAAATATAATACACCCCTTTTCTAGTTAAAGTAAATTTTGGGTTGATAATCCTAATAATTTAAATAAACAGAAGAGGTTATCTTCACACTTTTCATGTACATTTCCGGCTAATCTTTGTTGTAAATGTTTATAATTAAACTCATCTTTTGTGCATAATCTGACATCTAATGAAAAGTCACACGTGCTTTAATTGTTGTTTCACACGTTTAAGAAATGTTTGTTTATTTACGTTTAAGGATTGTTGCACAAATTTATTTACATGTTGTACTGCGGAAATCGGAATGGATTAGTTGCTTATCGAGGCGGGAATATTCCCCGGGGGCCTGTAATTAAGTGAAAGTTAAATTTTCCATAAAACTCTGTAACACCATTATAAAAAGCGAGGAAATTGAAACTAAGTCTTGTCCAATTAAATACTTCGATGGTCAATTTTGTCGCTGTAATTTTAACTTTCGCTCGCTTTGAAAAAATTCCTCGGGGGTTATGGATCGTCGTAATAGATATGTTTTGCCCATCAAGTATATAGCTTTATCTGGTAACCTCAGTCTTAAGTACTACGTCCTTAAAAATCATTTTGTCCAGGTGCAATATTCATTGATAGATCATCAAAGAATTCCGTAAACCCTTCATTCACATAATTAAGCATCGTTGTCCTGCTAAATACATCTATAATACGAAAAAAATAAGATAAAAGTGGTCGAGAATTGGGACCAGTTCTGTTTTTTGTATGTGTATGGTATTATAATTTCTAAAACATGTGTTAGTTTTATGTCTGTGTTGAATTATTGTGTGAAACATTTTGTTTACATTGAATTAATTTTTAAGCGTGTGTTTTGGGTATTTTTTTTAACAAAAGAAATCAGTTTTATATCCCAGATATTCCTTGATTTTTTTTTTTTTTGCATTGTAAAAAATATTTTTTTTTTAAAACATAACCTTTTAAGAGTACAGGTGGAAAATTCTAACTGATTAATCATATTTAATTTCATATTATTATGGACATGGCTATAATTATTATTTTAAAAAACAAAATACAGAGAAAGGTTGAAAAAATACTTGAGATTTTTATTTCATCAGTATCGTAACGTTTAATCCGTTTTCCCGTCAAAAGCATTAAAGACGACAGTTAAACTCGTTTTACAGCTCTCGGTTCTTCAATAGCCTCCGAACTCTGTATTCTGATTTGATCCCCAATAACACTTAAACGATCTATCACTTGATAAATTACTAAATGATAGTCATCACCCTTGGTTCTGTTGTAAAACTCAAGTTTAACAAATTGAAAATTTTGCGTCTGTATAAATACTTGAAATGAGCAGTATAAAATGGATAATACAACGTAGATGGATTTGATTACAAAATGGTATTAGACTGTCAAATTGACAATGCTTTGAACAAACTGTGGAATACGAAACCTGCATATTGCTTGCAACTTTAAAAAGGAGCCTTAATTGAGATTGAATTCATTATGAAATGAATAGTAACTTGATTTGAGTGTTTAGAATTGGGTGCCAAAAGGATGTTTTAAGGCTCTCGAGGGGTGAATAGAAATGATTCGGTACACCAAAACACTTTCAGTCATTTTTTGATTGATTTGAGGCCTTTCAATTTACTGCAAAAAATTCAGCTGCACCTCGACATATGTTATCGCCAGAAACCTAATGCCGCTGTACAATATCTTTTTTGTTATTACAATTTCAAATTTCAAAAACACGGGCCTGACTGACCGGGGCTCGGATTTAAAATGCCAAAATAAAGAAAATCTCCGCTCGTAAATGAATCTTTTGCTGCCGATAATCCTCCACAATTGACATGACATTTGGAATAAACTGTGTGTTGATAATGTTCATTTACAAAGTCCTAGAAAAATAAAACCCCTCTAAAATCGCGCCGTTCACCGCCATGATGCTACTAATAATCTTTAAAACCGTACCGTATGACATCACTAAATCCGCGATATTCATCTATAAAAATAATTCTCACGAATATTAAAACACAGAAGGTATTCATTTACTGTTAGTGCGGCAAATATAAGAAGGGGAGTGTTGAACAAGATGTTATGTTTTAAAGTCACTCTACTATGCCTCTCACTCATCATTTTATATCCTCTTTGTACATCCATACAAAATACTTAACAGTTTGTTTTAATTTTCAAAAGCCATTAGAGGGTATCTAGAACATAACACTTGAAAAAGTGTTTTTGTGTCTACATATTTTTTTTATTTTTCCAACTTTTTCCAACTCGTATTTTTTACACCATGAAGAAGTTAAACACTTATTATCAAAGACGATTAATTGAAATCTCTAGTACGTTTAATTAAAGAAACTCAATAAATACACGTTATGGAAATTGACATTGTTGACTGAGGACTGATGATTATTTGAATTTGATTTACTTATAATCAGGTTGACACAGCACGAATTATTGACAACAAATAAACACTGTAGAGTCTTCTGACAACCTCGTACAATAGGTGTGTTATCCCGTTCGCTTTCCAGGGGATGCAGACATATTTGACGACAAATTCTGAGACAAAAGTCCATTTAAAATTCCCTTCATTTTTCATGGTAAAATTTTCTAACTAAAGGACAATTGTAAAAACATATAATTATTCTTTAAAATAAACAGACAAAAAATATAAATAAATAAATACTTTTAGTAAAAAATATGGCAATGGTATTAAATTCTTCATATGTGAATAAATAGATTTCTCTTTAATCATGCTCTGTTCTCAAAAGTATCATAAAGATGTCCTTAAAATTGTAAGGTGACGATGTCTCGTGTCTTATGATTTGGTATAATTAAAAATGTCGTAGTTAAATTGCCTCGTGTTTATATATTTACAAAATCTGACAAGAAATTCATTCCACCGAATTGAACACACATGCGTGAAGTACCGTGTATGACGATTATTAACTAATTATCTATTAACTCGTATCTCCATCACTACAAATTATCTACCCCGATAGAATGTCCCGTATCAGTTTATAAATCCAAACATTTCACCAGTGTCACAAATTCAGCAGCACAATATTGATGTACATACGATATGGGCCGGATATCCTTGCCCATTGGAATCTTATCGCCGGGGATAAATGAGACGGCGAGGGTTAATGAAGGGACCGGGGGTTGATAACAGACCACGGCGGGGGTCGGTCAAACAGGTACTGTCCGTTTTATTGGCGGATGAAGCTTTATAATTAAAGCCAATCTGGCATCACAATGATGTTTAACAACGAATTGAAGTCCGTGAAAAACTTTACATAAGAAATGGCATATTAATGAACTTGCTTCATTTTATTCTATTCTGATTTCTGAAATCAGAATAAAAATATGAAATGAAACCAGTTCATGTAAAGAATATTTCTTATTTAAGTTTTCCTTTAAATAAAATTATTAAATTGTCACTATTTATAACCTAGAATTCTACATATTCCAATCAAGCATGTCCAATAAAATACATAAAATTAATATTTTTCATTACGAAATTGAGATCAGTTTGTTAACATTGTTTAATTCTGTGTTTTGACGAGCCAAAATATCTATCACGATTGTTTTTTTTAAAAAGGTAAATAATGGAAATAATAAATAAATGGAGATTTAAATAAATTAATTTTTTTTAAATTGCGTAACTTTACTTTAAAATAAATTTTCTCTGAGGGTAACATTATTTGTGATTTTTTTTTTTATCGCATTTCGTTGTTCACAAATTACATTAACTTATTACCATAGTATTATAGAGCTAAATTGTGAATTTCATACCATGAATTCTTTCTAATATTTTTTCTCTTTTTTTCATAAAGAAATACTTTTACAAATAAAACTACTTTATTAATTCATTTTAAGAATTCATAATTAAATTTTAAATATTTACAATTGTAATTTATATAATTTTGACAGTATTTAACTTGTTTCACTTGTAATTATTTACAAATTTACACACTTTCTGTCAGTGATGAGAGATACTTGAAGTGTAAACCCTCCTCAAACACTGTACGCCTATTACATGTGTTCCTGCACTGCGTATAATTGTTCCTATTGAGAATTTGTTTTCATGTCAAAACCATGTTTTTATCTGAGTGTCAGAAGATGAAGAGAGTTGCTAAACAAATTAATTGCTGGGATGATAAGTTGCTGTCAAGAGCAGACGGGCTAAGAGAGAATCAGGCGCTTAGGAAAACAAAGGCGATCTAGCATTTACCTCTAGATTTCCGTATTTTTCAGAAGAAATAGAATGGAATTTCTATTTTCAGTCTTCTGCACTGTGTTATATATTTATAAAATTCAAATTTTATTTATAATAATTTGAAAGATTCTGATTTTTTATTCTTTAAGAATTTGCACAGATATTTTTTTTCTCTGACAATATATTTAAACTTTTTTATTTTGCAGGTGAGAAGCCATTTAAGTGTGAGTTCGATGGATGTGATCGTCGATTTGCCAACAGCTCGGACAGGAAAAAGCATAGTCATGTACACACGAGTGACAAGCCGTACAACTGTAAAGTCAGAGGATGTGACAAGAGTTATACACACCCGAGTTCCCTAAGGAAACACATGAAGGTTCATGGGAACATTTCTCCAAGTATGGAGGAAAAGGAATCAGACGAGAGTCACTCCGAAAGTGAAGCCCCTCCTCCTAGTCCACCGTTATCAAAATCCCTGCAGACCCCAGTCCCGGGCAATACGACCGGAAGCTCGCAACCACAGCAGCAGACGACACCCGTTTCGTCAATATCGAGCCCGACCTTGCCACACGAAGTAAATTCTAGTCTTCCACATAATAACACAACGAACCTTAGCGAATGGTATGTTTGTCAAGGAACAAACGGACCCCCGGGAATGAGTATTTCCCACACGAGCGAGCAATCTCCTTTAAGTAATCTCGGTCATCTTCAAAATCTTCAACCACCTCCCATTCTTCAGTTCTCTTGAAGGGTCGATTTTTCACCTGAAGGACCTCTGCAGATCATCGGTGTTAAAACGATCATGCTTACCTCCTGCAAATAATTCTACACCTAAAGTTCGATATTTGTATTTTCTTGTTTCTGTGTTTTGGATCTCTGAGATTTCTTGATCGGGTTCGGGGATTATGAAAATGATTTGTAGTCGTGACTTATCAATGTGTCATTTACAGTTCTAGTGTTTTAAACCGACCGAGAGGAACGAATTCTCACGGGTTTACCCCCAGATGTTCTAAGCTACAGATAACTATATATTTGAATTAGGATTAAGTTATTTTCACATTTCATTTTATTGTCATTAATCAAATTATACACCTGTATGATGATATTGTGATCAGTGAATACTTATACCCATGTATAACATGGCTAATAATGTAAATAAAATACCTATGAATTTATACTCTGACGTCTTTACTTTGCAATCTTGTAGTGTCTAAAGAAAAAAAAATCAATTTACTGTAAATCGCATTCTTTTTACTGACTATTACTGAACTTTATGATAAGTATTTATAAATGCAACAAATTGTTGAATATCATAATACCTGTATTTTTTTCCCTTACTTAAGGAGGCTGGGGGTCAACAAATAAACCATCAGATATAACTGAATATTTTAGAAATGATATCTTAAGCATGCAGTCAATCATCATTTGGCAAAGAAACATTTCATAAAAAATTTCATCACTTTTATATATCTTATATGGAGTTCTTCTAAAGGAGATCAATATAGTCAAAAATGGCACAACCACCCAGCCTTCTTAAGAAATCCTATTTTGAAAGATCTGCCGTATAGTGAATTTAAACTACTGATGGATTGTCATAAACAATATATATTTTTCTCAATATAACTTTAATTTGTATTTAACCACTCAAAAAAATTAATTCACACAATTTTTTTAATTCTTGAGGAAGCAAGTAAAAGAACAAAAATCTATAGTTATAGATTATCTCATTCTCTTTTGATTTTTGAAAGTTCAATAACTGAGCCATAAAAAGACGCATATTATAAGCAAACAGACTTAATCTAGTTCCAGTCGTGGTGCCACTATTGTTTTACCTCTTTTGAATTCATTATGAGTGTCGCCGAATGTAACTCTTAGTGCCAATACTTTAGATGTATAGAAGTCTATACCAGACTTTCAATTGTTTTGTTTTGTAAGAATTACTTGTTAAGTAATCAAATCTTCGTATGTGTCTATGTCTGTGTGTCGCAGTCAGCGCCATGAATGCACTGGTTCCCGCCCCCTATTGTCTGGTCCCCCTTTCATTATGTGCGGATCTTTCCAGCACGGCGGGATCTGTTGATTTTCCGTATTACAGTTAATGTTCTGCTGCTTTTAAGAAGGTTTTCATTGTGTGCATGTGGTTTTTATGAATGAATTTGTTTTCAAATGTTACAAGTCGGTAATCTAATTTTGAATGAGTAAATAATAATAGTGAGAGAGAATCAATGATAAACGAAAATGCTTTTTTTTATAGAGCCTTCTTAATGTTACACAAACACCTACAACATTTAGGGTTTATGAATAATAATATTGTGGATTATCTCTCAGACTGAACATTAAAACTTCTACCACTAGGTTTTTGTAAAAACTATCAATAAACATCTTTTTTTAAGTCCGACTTTAAGGATGTATCTTCTATTGAAACATATACAACAGTATTATTTAAAAGGATATTTAATGTACAGAAAAATAAACGAAGCGAACATTCTGTTAAAAGATAAAATAATCATATTAACCGAAATAAAATAAAATAATTTAAGCCTGACTTATGCCAGACTTTACAAACATGAAATATTACCAGAAATCCCAGCATCATACGGATATTGCTAAAGCCACGATAAATGTTAAAACCCAGCCCTGGGAGAAAAAGAAGATGCGATATAACGGTGATGAAACCACTGGATTCATTTAACAAATAGAAAAACTATTCTTCATATTCGTTCACCCAGACCGGAGTTTCCATTCTCTAGCTAAAATCAGCAACCTGCCCGTCGCCGCACAGGCATTAAAAGTTATGGTGCACAAAAGATTCGTCCATGACACATACGCCAGCCAAATGGAGCAAAATAATGCATTGAATTAATTTTTGAGACAAGACACTTTCTTTATAAACTTTGAATTTCTTTGAATGAAATGATAGAGACAGCCATGGCTTTAAGAAAAGCAAAGGAATGTTCATTTTCCTTAACTTTAATAAAATAATTATAATCATGATATGCTACTAATAAGATGAGTTTACAAAGCAATAATTTCATATATCATATGGCAATTATTTTTACTTTTAATTTCATAACGTTTGACACAATTAAAGAGAAAATTCTTTTCACAAATTTTAAAGATAAAAAAATCAGCACAGAGCAGTATAATGAAACAGTGTTTTACATCTACTCATTTCCCAGGAAGAAAGATAAATGTCGGGTTCGACATACACAGCTGCCCGGATTTTGCCTTTATACAAATTCATTATATTTTTTGACTTTGCATTTTATGTGTACGAGGGAGATGGAGATAAAAGTGTTGATATACTTTAGCATTTTTGTATCAAGTTATTTAGAGATTCTAAATGTTTTAATACGATCTGTTAAAGACTTTATGATGGTAAATATATCGTGATAAGGTTCGCAGCAACTGTAGCTTCAGAGATAGAATCTCCTGTTTGTAGGCAATCACAGACCATCTACAACAGCTGTATTTATACAAAAATGGACCAGAATTCAAAGATATCGGTATCAATTTTATGTGCTGATTTATGAAGTACCATTCGCGCAAGAATGCATGGTTTAAAAAATGATTCCTGAAACAAATATGGGTAAAAAAAAATTTCATTTTGGTACTCTTAACTTGTATAATAATGTACTGTAAGAGTTTACAATGCAAAATTAGAGCAGAAACTATGGTAACAATTATCTGCTCAAGGCATTTGTCGGACTGGAATATTAGACCAAATAATATTAGCCCACTGTGAATTGCAACAAAATATCAGAATCCAAAGACAAATTGATCAATGAGTGGCGTGCATTTTATGGTGTGGATAATTATTAATTTACTAGGAGACTTTTGTGTTCTTTTCCGTTTTTTTACATGTCTCGGTCCAATTTGCATCAAAATTATTGGGTTTCACTTCCTCCTTTAAAATGGTGTGAAAGATTTCACAGTAAAATTTAGGCGCGTGTCCATCAACTTAGACCCATCATCAAAACGCGATGCAACACTGTTTTCAGATGTTAATTTGGGAGACACCTTCAACAAAAGAGTGGAAATTGAGAGAATTCGATTTCTTTCATAAGATCAAATCTTATTAAATTCACAGCATGCATGTCTCAAGTCTAGCAAAACTTTTAAAAGATACACGTGCAAATTGTAGTCGTTGTGATTGGTTGAGGACAATCCCACTGCGCCTCGTTGTCATCAGTTGCTCTAATGACCCGGCTGTAGATTACTCCGCCGCCAAAGTTAGTGATACATCATAGAATATAATTTTTTAATTATGTGATATTTAATAGGGAAAAAATACAAAAGAAAGAATAGAGACGTAACATTTCTCAGTATTTCTGAGACCACCAATAAAGTAAATTTTCCTATTGGCTTCTATCGTTTTACTGAATATATCGATGTAGCGCACCTATAAAGTTTCAAATATTTTTATTTAATTCGTTAATGATAAAGTAACATGGAGCTAAATAAACAATTGTTAATGATCGACAGCAGGTGTAAAAACGCGGATTGTGTCAGCATCACGGGGCGAGTGAAGCCGAGAGCCCGTTATCTCCAATCCTGATCGTGTTCCCGGGGATTTCTCCGCGTTTCCACTGTTTTGACGTGCTGGGATCCCACTGGGCACCGCAGCAGTTCGGATTCATTTGAAACTCTACTCCGTCAAAAGAGGATAAAGTTAAAGCCGGTATTTGTGCAATGCAACTTTTAATATCCTTGTTCAACATATATTTGATAGAAAAAATCATGACAATACATGCTTTATGACTTTGTGAAATGCTCCTGGGCCACATCGCTAATCTGTTACGTTTCATCACTCTTTTGATTGAACATATGTGTAATAATGCCTTAGAAATTACGGCCCAGAATAGGACACAACATTTCTAATAAATTTTAGAGTAATTTATCTAACGAACAACTCTATAATATAATACAATCATGCATAATTGCATGAATATACAGAATTCGAATCCAAAGGGTCCAAGGGGAAGGTTTTGGGGGACGTTTATTTGAAATTGAAATCAGGCGAATGATTCCTACGTATGTTTTGTTTAATACATTATGCACTTACTTGGTTAAAGATAAGACTAAATTTCTTCTTTTTTTTTTATTAATTATAAAAAAAAACGCATTTTCAATTTATGGTCTCTCCTTGTATACATGTTAATATATATACTAATCATTACTATATATACTGCCGGTATATTATAGACGATGCTTTCATTGTTTAAGGACGTAATAATCAATCAACGCAAGTGCTTTAGAACATCTCTTTTCTCCGAGACAAGAAAACCTATCCAACAGATACCCGTATCTCCCTCTAGAAGGCGGTGTCCAAATAAGCAATTCATTTAGGCTTCAATTATACATTAATGCGATTTCGCTGTAAAAATCAGTCAGGCCGAAGACTTCTTTTCTTCTTGTGTCAAAAAATCATTCACGGATTTATAGAGATATATTGAAAACATATTCTATCATTCAGACGCTGGACATATTCTAATATGTCGATCGTTGTTAGATGCGCCTGCGTGTCTAGCTACCGGATTAACGTTAAAGTTTTCAATGCATACAAATGGCCGCCGTGACTTGCAAGGATCGTGCTTTTGAAAAGGAAACGCATTTCGTTGACACTTATTCTTCAGTCATACGGAGAAGAATATGGTTCACCTAGATAATATTATATGGAATCTGAGGGATACTGTTTTTATTTCGTTGGTTTTGGGGTTTATACACGACTAATTTGCAAATCAAAGCGTAAAACTGCATCCTTCATCCCTCTTCGTTTAATAATAAACTCAGCGGCTCCCTGTTTGGATAGTCATTGGAGTAATTCAATGGCAACGCCCACACTAGCCCAGATTTCCTCTATACACTGCTTCTTCCTCTTGATCAATTTAGTATAAGCTTAATCTGTCTGGTCATAAGACATCATTCTTAAGCATGTTAAGAATAGGTTTTCTTAAAAAAGAAATCATGTAGGAATGTCATGCATTTTTTTTAAACAGCTAACCTGTGTCGTTTTAAAAATATTTAAAGCTTTGGGGAATAATTACACTGTTGAAGTCAACAAAAATCACATGACTTTTTTATTTCCTCACAGCACTTGACAGAAGATGCACATAGAGAACAATGCAAACAATGCTCCAAGAACTGATGTGAAGTATTCTCGCACGATAAAATTCT